TTCAGAGTCAAACATCAGTGAGGCAGACAAACAGCTGGAGCCTGTTCCCAGTGTGCGCATACGTAGAGTTTCCAGACGAAGGGAACAGCTAAGGAACAGGGGTCGACTTGGGAGTAAGGCCACAGGCGGATGATGAATGGCCCCTCCCAGAAGAGATAAAAGAGGAGCGAAAGGGGAGTGGAGTTTGCAGGAGACAATTAGTTCGCTTAATTAGTTCGTGACTCTTCGAGACTCCTTGCCAAGTTCTGCAGAGATCAGCCTGGCAGCTCTCCAAGCTAGACAAGGTCTGTGACTGTAAATCCTCCCTGGAAAGACTTTGTGGGATGTGAATGTGAAGAGTTCACAGTAAATTAATTAAAGGGGTTTCTTTTTTGTCAGGACAAGGAGTTTGCTTCAAGCTCTTGGGAAGCCTCGGTCAGAACATTTCCCCATGGAATTAATAAGAAGCCAAACATGGGCATACACGGCCAAAGCAATAGGCTTTCTAGTTATGATTTTGCATGTAAGCCTTGGGTAGAAGACTCTATGAAGGTCTCAAATCTCATGGCCCCAATGTCTATGCAATCAAGGAGGGGTCATAGCAATAACACTTAGACTTATATACCGCTTTACAGCCCTCTCTAATTGGTTTACAGAGTCAGCCTGTTGCCCCCAACAATCTGAGTCCTCATTTTACCAACCTGGGAAGGATGGAAGGCTGAGTCAACCTTGAGCCACTCAGAACCGAACTTCTGGAGTGAGCAGCGAGTTAGACTGCAGTACTGCATTATAACCACTGTGTCACCACGACTCCTACATTTTGCATTCTCTTCTCTCTTTTTTCCAGGGCTGATCAGAAAGATGAAGTGGTATCTCTTTGAGGGAGACCTCACATATCTCTAAAACATGAAGGACATCTAACTTTCTCTTGACCTTGAAGAAAGATCAGGCTGCAGGCAGAGATCTGGAAGGTTAGGAGGCCAGCCACATCTCCAGATCTCAAAAGGACTGATCAAGTGTAAAGTTTAACATTTTTTTGCCTACAACAACTTTGGCTGACTTGGGGTCCTTCAGAGATGCTGAACTTCCAAGCTCCAACTTCCACTTTGGATCTAGAAGAGATTCACGCTTCTGGAAGACACTTAAGTTGGAGAAACACTGAGTTGGAGGAATCTGGGTTAAATTGTCCTTAGGAAAATGGGTGCTCTGCAGAAACAAACTCTGAAAATGATTCTTCCATGAAATGTTGGCCCATTTAGCTAAATCGGTCTTACCTAGGCTTTCAAAGAGCTTCTGGATCGGGATTTCGTTGGCATCTACCATCACGCGTTTCTCACCCAGCATCAGGACGTTCATGGAAAGCCACTTGGAGGACATCCACAGCGGATGATCTAGGGATGAAAACATTAGGCAGTCATGGATGCCTCCCCCTGCAACCCTCCCAATGGAATGTTGGCTTCCCAAGTCACGCGGAAGCCAAACGAAGCCAAACCTACTGTCGGGGATGAGAGGAAGTGGTGGATGAAGGATGGTCCAGCCTGCCTTCTTGAAGAGATCAATCTAAGAGAGTCAGCGGAGAAAAACAGACAGCTTAACACTGGGAATCATATTGCTTCCTACATATGTTCTCCCGCTGTGCACTTCTAGTAAGTCTGTTAGTTTCTCTGCGGTGACATAAAAATGATGGATGAATCAGCAGTTTAATCTGCCCAGCAACTAACTAACTAACTAACTAACTAACTAACTAACTAACTAACTAACTAACTCTCTCTCTCTCTCTCTCTCTCCCTCCCTCCCTCCCTCCCTCTCTGTGCAAAGTTCGATTTCCTGTGTGCCTATGGATGTAGATGTCAGCCTCTGCTTTGCTGTCGCTTCAGCTGCCATGAAACGGGGAGGGAGGGCATGGTATTTGGGAGGGGTTACTCATTGTGCTGGAAGAAGGTTCTGGAGTTCACCGACTGATCGGACTACGCATGCGTGGGTGTTTCCCGCCAGGACTAACGGCACCGACATTCCATCTTCGTGATGCCTTTTGAAGTTATCTCACACCTGACACTTGAAAGAATTATGATTGGACTGGGACTGTGATGCCAGGGGGTGGGGAATGGGCTATTCTATATATCAATCGCTTTCACGCCTAAATATTCAGACTTCGCTACGCTATGCCTTTAATCATTCTTAATTAGTAAAAGTACACTTGATTTCCACACATGGAGTCTCGTGGTCTTTCTTTCCTAATTAATTAATGGAGAGGTGCTGACAGTAATGGAATGTGGGGTTGACCTTGGGGAAGGAGGGGAAGAGATGTTGCCTAGGAAACAGATAAGAGAAGCAGGAGCCCCCAGTGGCTTAGTGATCAAAGGGAGAAACTTAAGAAGGATCTGCCTTCCTTAAGGATCAAACAGTTAAGACTGTCAATGGGCAGTTGTACTTTTGCATTGGCAAGAATTTGTTAATGTAGCCTTACTATAAAGTAAGAATTGGTTCATATATTCCTGTTTCCTGTCTGGTTTACCTGGGAAGAACCGACAGTGTCTTTTTAAACGTTTTTACATTTCTTTTCCATTCACAGTCCAAGTTTAGTTTCCAGGCGCGGCGGTTAGAGTGCAGAGTACTATGGGCTACTTCTGCTGACTGCCAGCTGCCTGCAGTTTGGAAGATTTGAATCTCACCAGGCTCAAGGTTGACTCAGCCTTCCCGCCTTCCAAGGTGGGTAAAATGAGGACCCAGATTGTGTGGGCAAGAGGCTGACTCTGTAAACTGCGTAGAGAAGGATGTAAAGCGGTATATAAGTCCAAGTGCTATTGTTATCTACTCTCTGCTGACACTTTTTTAAAGCTGCAGCAAGAATGGGGAATTGCTGAAGTCCTCAGATGCAACCCTCAGTCTTTTAATTGCATTAAGTAGAGATAAGGAGGCTGAAGAACGAAGATTGCACTGCATAATACAAGTAACCCATAAATCATGGCTAGCAAACCATCATCATCTTCATTGTCCTTTAATGACCCCATAATCCCTTGTGGAGTGGAGTTCTGGGCAACTGAATGGAGCTAGTAGAGTATTTTAATGGCCAGATGCCCTTCCCGTTGCCAATGTGGAGTTTTGTTCAGTACATATATTCTCAGTGTGCCCAGAGAGAGAAATAGCTGCCACTAACTAGGATCAAACTCACGGTCTCCTGATTTTTTTTTCTAAAAAGCCGGTGATAAAAAATCCAGCCAAAAGGCTGACAAAGTCGGGGCGGCTCCAAAACGGGACGATGTGGAAAAAGAAAGTGTTTCCAGCTGGTGAGGAATTTTTATGGTTCTAAAAAAAAGGGACTGCCTATAAAACTTAAAAACCGATTTCAATCAAAGAATAGAAGATCTTAGCGGCAAATTTGAATTTTTGAATGTTTTTGGACAGTGGTTATCTTACTTTTTAAATGTTATTTACATGGATTGAATCTAAAAAAAGTTCGCGTCTCTAGGAAGGCAATTTTTTTTCAGTGCCGCTGTTAACTTAGAATGGTTAGAAAGGTTGTAAGTCAAGGACTACCTGAAATGCCCCATTCCTCTGTGAAGCTCCCCTTACAGTACCTCATTACAGGGACGATCTGGATTAGAAAGCACGAGTCCAGGACCAATGATATTAAAAGTAGCATCGATGTGCATCGGGTTTGGGTCTTTGAAAGAAATAGTATGGACTCTATAGTCCGGAGCAAGATGTCTCCTCATCCACTCAATGCCCATGAAATTTGTAACCTGCAACAATGGAGAAAGGAAAGCATGATAGTGTAGAATAATCATATCCAAGGACCAGTGGTGGGTTTCAAAAAAATTTTGGAACCTCTTCTGTAGGTGTGGCCTGCTTTCCGGGTNCACTTGATTTCCACACATGGAGTCTCGTGGTCTTTCTTTCCTAATTAATTAATGGAGAGGAGCTGACACCAGCTGTCTACACTGGTAAGCATTTGCACTAGCCTAGCCCCTCCTCCCCACCAGACAGCATCTACCGAAGCCACTGCCATTGCAGCCACGGCGGGGACGGGGCCAGCATGCTGGAGAGGGCAGCAGTGGCAGGAGAGGGCAGCAACCCCAAGATGGGGAACAGTGGACACGTGCAATGAGAACCATATCAGATGGAAAGTCTCACTGCAAACCTTGAAAGTGAGTCTTGAGAAGAGAAGGAAAGAGCATGGGGGATGCAAGGGAAATGTTTCTGAGGAGCGGGAAGCAGTTTTGCCCCAGAAGGGGCCAAGAGAAAGGGGCCACCGATATTCCCAGCCCTGTGAGCAATAGCCAAGATGACACTCTAGGCTAAATTTATACCCCTGACTAGAAGGGAAGACAATCATTTAGGTGGCTTAAAATTACTATTGAAATGCAAATGTCCATGTAGGAATGGCAGAAGAAGGTATTAATCACAGGATTAGAAAAGGTTATCAAAAATGAAAGAGCTTCCAGTTTGCATAAAAAACAACAACTAGAGATTTGTGGTTTTGATGATTAGACAGGATAGTTTATAGAAAGAAGAGAAATATGATGCAATTTTAGAAACATTAGTTAAAATTTACTTGTACTTATAACCACTGTGAAGAATATTCAAAGCCATTTCTTTGTATCTTTTTTTCCTTTTCTCATTTTCCTTCACACTTTCCCCCCTTCCTTGCACATTGTGCTTTTTCTTCTATTTCTTTCTTCCTCACTTCATATTAGTTTGTGTTAATTTTCATCTTTTTGTTTAAACATTCTAATAAACATTATAGAGAAAAATGAGGGGAGTGCTAACCTAACCCCCCCCCAAAAGGACAAGGATCTGGGGTGGGGGCTGGGACAGCTTTCCACAGCCATCTTGCTATGGCCATCTTGCCACAGAAAACTTGCTACGGCCTACTTGCTGTGGGACAAGAGTTACAATAACATCAAGAAATGGAGGGATAGGATCATCAAAGAAGGGATGTCAAAGGAGGGACCAAATGAAAAGTGAATGACAAAAATTAAAATAATTCATTAATTTTGAATAATTACATTGAGTGGTTGAATTGTCCCACAACGAGTTTTCCCGCTGCAAGTTGGCCTTAGTGAGTTTCCCCATTTCGGATTGGAGGGGGGCTCAGGAAACCAGGAAAGACGACCCTCCCAAGATGCCTAAGGGGCACATCTGAAGGACAATCACCCTCTGCACCCTGGAGCTGCAGGCCCTAGGTCTCATTGGGGGAGGGGCTGTTTGGAACGGATCAGCTCTGACCCAAGGCAGAATCCGTCAGGAAAGGATCTTGCACCAACTTGGCTCAAATAGACAGAGTTTTGCAACAGAAGTGAGCTCACGGTAGCCTCTGGGAATGGGGGACGGCTGATTGTGTCCCAACACATTGTTCTTTCAGAGCAATTCATGTTACAAATGAATTAACAGAGGTGGAAGGGAGCTTGTAGGCCATCTAATCCAACCCCACTCCCAAGCAACAGACCCTACACCATTTCTGACAGATGGCAGCCCAGTCTCTTCTTGAAAATCTCCAGGGATGAAACTCCCACAACCTCTGAAGGCAACTTCTGTTCCATGGGTTGATTGCTCTCACTGTCAGAAAGTTCCTCCTTGTTTCTAGGTTGAATCTCTCCTTGGTCAGTTTCCTTCCATTATTCCTTCTCTGGCCTTCAGGTTCCTTGGAAAATAATTTGACCCCATTCCTCCTCTCTGTGGCAGCCCCTCAAATATTGGAACATTGCTATCACTATCATGTCTCCCCTGGTCCTTCTCTTCCATTTCATTCTTCTCTTCCAAGAACTAAATGGTTTCCTTCTGCTTCTGCGCTCTTTCTGTGGCCTCCTCTGTACATTGCAGCCACAGAGACCACACAGTGGGATGTGGGGCGGGGTTGTTGGCATTGTGAAAAAAGCTCCTGTAAATCCCCCTCCCATCTCCTCTTTGGTAGTTTCCCCCCTTGTGTGAAAAAGGGGGAGGGATTACTGGGGAAGGGACACACAAGTGATCTCGCTAGAGATTCACATCCTGCATAAAATCGATTCAAATTTTTTTTAAATTAAATTGAAACAGTGCCACATGACAGGGCTCCATCAGTCTATCTTGCAACTTTACTACCAGGGTGGAATGGAAGGAGAGGGCAACTCTCCAAGGAAGGTCCGGGGAATCGATCATTGGAAAATAATGATATCTGCCTCGAATTGGCCATGACCCCCACCAAGGAAGGTTAGGAATAAAGTGATTAAAATAGGTGAGCTTGAAGCGCTCCAAGTCTACCTGCAAATACTCAGCAGAAAGTCAGAGAAAGTCTTACTGGCCCCCTTTCTGTGATTTTCGTGGGGCTGGAGGTGGTGGGAAAGAGAAGCTAAGTGCACCCATGCAGCTTTCTTGGAGGGTTACCGAAGTAGCTTGGACTGCCGCCTTCTGGAAAGTGCTTACAATTTCCCAATTTAGCCAAAAGCTCTAGAAACTGATGGAAACTCTTCTGACCGAGGCTTCCCCAGAAGCACGAAGCTGAGTCCTTGTCCCAATAAACCCCTTTTATTTAATTTACAGTCAGTTCCTCTCCGGCAAAGTCTTTCCTCTCCCACAGTCTTTCAAGATAGTTCACAATTACTGACCTTTAACAGGCTTGGAGAGTGGCCATGCCGATATCTTTTAGATGCCGCAATTCTTTACAAGAATGCAGGAATGAACTAATTGTCTCCTGAAAACACCCCTCCCATTTAGATTTGATTTGATTTGATTTATTGAGCATTTATAGGCCGCCCTTTTCCCTGAGGGGACTCAGGGCGGCTTACAATCACAAAGGAAAGGGAGTGT